TGAAAGTTACCTGAAAAATCGTCAATAAATGGTATTGATTAATAACTGTTTCAGTAAGCCGAGAATGTAACCTATGGAATTCCACAGGGTACAGTCCGAGGACTTATATTTTTCCTTATATACATAAATCAACTACTTACTATTGGTGTTTCCGGAAAAATCTTCTCTTTTGCTGAAGATACAGTTTTGTTTGTTAAATATAACAATTGGGGTGAAGTCGAGAACCGCATTAGTTCGGACTTGCAACTTATGCAACAGTGGCTTGACAATAATTTACTAACAATCAACTTAGAGAAAACACCTTCAGAACACGCCTGCCTTATTTAAATTATAATGATCCACTACCTACAAACAATAAACTTACTATAAAACCATTGTTTAGAAATAGTTGCTGGTCTTTACGTAGAGCTGAGCATGTTATCTACATCGGAAATCATATTGACTCAAATCTAAAGTGGAACTTCCATATCGAACAGTTAGTGAAAAAACTACGATTCTTAATGCCTTCTTTCTACTTATTTTTCACTTGTACAATGACTTATATCTTATGGAATAATTGGTTGGGGTGATACCTATCACACAACTCTTCAGGCCCTTTATGTAATACAAAAAAAGAATTCTGAAAATTATATTTAAGTATTGAACTGAGGAGGCTTTTACTTGATGAAAATCCATTTATTAAAATAAATAAGAACTAAAAGTTCAGATTTTCACGAAATTATATATTTTTACATGATAATTGTTTCGACAGCACCGTGTGTTTATCAAATGTAATATTTACAAACTACCTACTACTATATATACTGAAAAATGACCATAAAACCGTAATTAATGTTGTTGCGAGAATTTAAGTTCAATAAAGGAGAGCTATTTAAATCTACTTGATCGTTAAGCAATACATTTGAATGTCTCATTTTGTTAATCTCCATGACTTCCAATAAATTTAATTTTCAACTTTTTGTGGCTGTATCTAATATATCAAAATTGTCGTCAAAAATGTGTTTTTCTGTGTTTAAATTTATATTTAAATTTAAATTGTATAAATAGAATCTAGACTATTGTTTTTAAACGCTCTTATATGTTTGTTAATGTGTTTCTTGAAGGATCTACCTGTTTGTCCAATATAAATTTTAGGACAAGATGCACATTTCAACCTGTAGACACCTGATTTTTGAACATTTAGATTTATTGTTTTTTAAAAGTTTTCCTATTGTGTTGTTTGTTCTGAAGGCTATTTTTAAACCACATTTTGACAAATGTTTTGAAACTTTTTCACTAGGTTCTCCTATGTATGTAATTGTTTTAAATTGTTCGTGTTCTGTATTAGGTTTCGGATAAATAGAGTTTACTGTTGTCTGTATTTGTTTTTATTTATAATTTTATCTATAATAGACGGATTGTAGCCGTTGTTCAGTGCAATTTGTTTAATGATATTAAGTTATTTGTTGTAATTTTCTGTTGAGAGTGGTGTATTAGGAAGTCTGTGTATAAAAGAGTTAAATGCAGCCATTTTGTGTGTTTAAGGGTGATTTGAGCTGTTATGTATGACTGTGTCCGTGTGTGAAGGTTTATGATATATTGAAAAATCTAATTTGTTTTGCACTTTCGTAATAGTTAAGTCTAAAAAATTAATAGAGTTATCCACTGTCGATAGTGAATTTTATACGATTATGTATTGAGTTAATGTAATTTAAAAAATAATTCAATTGTCTGTCCGTTCCAACAAAGCAAGCAATGATATCATCCACATATCTATACCACCATAAAAAACTTTTACTTAAAGGATGTTCTAGTATGATATTTTCCAAATTATTCATAAAAATCTCGGCTAACAAAGGACTAAGTGGGTTTTCCATAATCAAACCTTCTTTAGAGATATAAATTCCATTAAATTCAAAATGAGACATTCAAATGTATTGCTTAACGATCAATTAGATTTAAATACCTCTCCTTTATTGAACGTAAATTCTCGCAACAACATTAATTAAGGTTTAATGGTCATTTTTCGGTAAATATAGTAGTAGGTAGTTTGTAAATATTACATTTGATAAAGACACGGTGTTGTCATGTCATAATATATAATTTCTTGAAAATCTGAATTTTTAGTTCTTATTTATTTTGATTTTTATATTTAAGTTAAATCTGCGATATCCATCTGACTTAATTTTTATAAATACTCCACATAAAAGAATTATATTATAAATCACTTTTGTTCTTAATAAAAAATAACTTACTGGTTAATTCAAAAACCCACGAGTATGAAACACGCTTTAAACTTGGAGAAAATTTAACTTTACAAAAAATGCGTTTATCTGTTGGATAAAAAGATTACTTTCATACTGGTCAAAATATTTATAACGCACTACCTCTAGAACTGAAAAATAAAATAAAATGAAAATCATTTAAAAAAAAATTAACTATGTGGCTTATTGCTGTTAAATTGTATTCTAAGTCAAATTCACAGGTTTATTAATGTATTGTAACTATAAATGGCAAACATAGTTAAATTAATTTGCGTTATGTTCAAGGTTTTTAACGTAGTATACCTTGAATATAAGTGTTTTGAATATAAATTTTTATTATTATATTTTGAATATAAATTTTTATTATATTATTATCCGGAAATGCCCGAAATGGTTCGGATCCGTGGGAAACGAAACTGACCTGCTAAAGTGATCCTTCCCGCACACTAGATCGGTGTGTAATTAGGTGTTTTACAGACGGAAGTAGAAAAAATATTTTAATTAGCTAATTCAATTTTTTTGGGAGACCCGCAGCACTGTATATGCAACTGGCGTACAGTCGCAAGCTATGCAGCTAACAGCAGTGCGTTTTATTGGTTCGAAATTTAAAATGATCGACCCGTGAATAATGTCGAGGTTTGCGTTCGCCATGGTGCGGCGAGTAACGCGACAATAACAAACATTTCACTGTCAGGGTTCTCGACATTGGAAGGCGGCGACGGTACATTCATGCGGTTTCACCTAGTGCACTAGATACGTCCGAAAAATGGCAGTCATTCGTCTTAAATCCTCCCACACCGATCTTGCCTAGCTGACGCGCGGTCGTCAACCTTTCTTTTTGCTTCATGCATTTGGTACCAGCATATATACAGGGTGTGTTCTAATTTATCAATAGTTCAGAGGGCAATTTTTGTGTGTATTTTAAAAAGGAAACTTCATATGAACATATGTTCTTAACGTCTTAGTTTTTGAGGTACAGGGTGGTAAAGTTTTCAAAATTATTTTTTTTTTAATATCTGTAATACCACTTTAGATGTTTTAATAAAATTTGGCACGTATGCTTTATGTACCAAGAGGCATTATTTAGTTTACCACAGTTTTTTTTTATATATTTTTATTTTATCTCTCCTATTTTGGCAGACATTGATGGTACGCACACTGGTTTATCTGAAAATAAAAATTATTCTTTTAATCTAAAACCATTTCTAAATAAATTGAATTTCTTGATTTTTTGCAATCCGATGAATGGTTTTTACTTTAAAAAAATAAAAACCTCCTCTCAGCATGCACAGAATTATTATCATTATTATTTCTTACTTTAGTTACTGTCTATGTTTTATTAAAATACTTCAACAAATGAAAGTAAGAATGCGAAGTACGTAAATGCTGATGCGTATTTTTGTGTCTGTAAGTATTATTAGTTCGGTTGTCGAGACAGTTGTTTGACAGTTTAAAATATCCAAGCGTTGCCATGTTAAAAAAGAATGGTCCAGTTTACTAATGAGGAGCAATATGCATTCTTTGTTTGGTTTGGCTGATGGCAGGGCACCGGAAGCTAGACGGTTATATCAAGTATATCATATGTTGTTTTTAATAGTATATGCAACCATTGTGACATTTAGTGGGCATTGTTACCATGATAAACAAATTGCGCGTAAACAGTTGAAAAAAAATGCGATAACTTGGCCTTTGCAAAATGTCTACTTAGAATCCTAATAAAGGTATTAAAACAAATTGCATCTATATATATAACATAGAGTCATACTATATAGGCGAACATTTTCAAATGTACATAGACGGTTGACTGAAACAGATAATTTGAGAGCAAATTCTCATTTAAAAGGGTCTATCCAGAAATTGAAGAACCAGATTTAAATTCTATTGATGAATATTCTGACCTTGGAAATCTGAATACCTCGCACGTCTTGGTTTGGAAAGTTTTGTAGCATTTTCTATTGTACCCATATGATTTAAGAGTCGAAGCCTTACTTTCCAGAGGTTTTCCGATATTTATATATGAATCTAACTTTTTCAGAAATGCAATCAGAAATTTCCACAATAACCATATTTGGGACAACGAAAACATCCATGTCGTTGTAGAATTTAAACATAAGATCAGTTTTAGGCAAATGTTTGGACTAGAACTGTTGAAAATTACTTAATTGGGCCCTTTTTTCTGCCGGAAAGACTAAATGGCCATAATTATCTCCGGTTTTTAGAAGAGTATTTGTCAATATTTCTAGAAGTACCATAATTAATTACCAACGCTTGCTCAGTTTAGCGTTGCAGTAAGAGAATATTTAAATGACATTTTTAATAACCGAATGGTAGATCGCGGCGTACCTCAACCATGGCCCCTTCGGTCCCAAGATTTAAATAGTTTCAAGTTCAAACATCTTCTTATGGAGGCATATTAAAAGTCTGGTTTACTGGTACCCCAGATAACACTGTAGTAGAACTGAAGGACCGTATATGGGCTGAAGGTATACTTCAAACAGTGCGGGGCAATATGCTTCAACAAGTTATCTAATTCCTATGTTTTACTTTTTTTAAAAAGGTTGCTATTTGTTAGTTGTTAAAAATTATTAATAGTAGGTAGTGCCTTTTTTTAGTACAAATCCTTTATTATTATTTTTTTTTAATAATATGTTATGTTATTTCATTAAAACTGTAGAAATAAAAAGAACTAGAAATGTTTTAGAAAGGGTTTTGAACAAACATTTAGTTCGAGAAAAATTACGAGAAACGTGTATGCAGGATTTGCTTACCGCTAAACGTGGTAACGATCGGCACAACCCAGCAAAACGTGGTACCGGTCAACGCGCACACTTGCATCTTCAGAGCGAAAGAGACAAGACAAGAGAACGACAACTTCTAAGTCGTTTCGATATGCGCGACTCGCGAGACCAAGGGGGATTTATCAGAACATAGAAGAACTGCGCATAGGCAATTTGGAATACATAAATACTATTATCCGAGCAAAAAAAGAAGTAGAAATTTAATTTCCAAAATTTAATCAAAACTGAACTTAATCTAATAATAATATACGTGCGCGGCTGTAACAGACTTATACTTTATTTTTCAAAAAAAAAGTTCAGGATTCAACCAGTACAGTGGCGACTTAATTAACCGAAACATTATTTCCTGATTTCCTTGAAAAAAATATTGACGTTTGCATTCATTTATGAGCATATTTGATCCCTTATTTTTTTTAGTCCGTCGCACGGATCTGCACTTAAAAATAAAAACTAATTTTCCGGCATGGTTATTTTTTGAAGTGAAAACCGTATATCGAATTGAAAAATCTAAAGAAATCAAATTTCTTTAGAAATGATTGGAGATCTATTTAAAGAAAAATCAGTGGCGTACCATCTAACCAGTCAAACTAAGCAGATGAAATTTCTTACTCCCGCCACTGGTGTATATTAAAAAGAAATGTGGTACAATGCCTCGTGATTCATGGTAAATGTGTGGCAAATTTCATTAAAATGTCTAAAGTGCTATTACAGACTTTTTTAATTTTTCAAAGAAACTTCCACAGGCTACTGTAATACTTTTTACAAAACTTCTGGATTATTCCTGCGTCTCCTTCTGAAACAGTTTCAATTAAGCTCTGAAGGAGGAATCCACAAGTTTTGTAAATGGTATTATTAAAAAAATATATGTTATTTTTGTAAACTTTACCATATGAAGTTTTATTTTTAAAATGGGTCCGAAAATCGTCCCCTTAATTATTGACACTTGATTAGAAAAGAGCCAGTATGCTGCGTTTAACATCCAGTTAACACGCAGATACTCTGTTTTTTAAAGTCGAGAATTGTTTTGCTCTGTAATTACTGGGTTTCTTTTATCTAAATTTTTTATTTCGCCACAAATTTAGTTTTGACTGTTAAAATAAATGTGTGTTTTTGTGTTTTTCCTTGGGAAAGCCGCTTTGAAACAATTTGTTAGGGTTATTTGTTGCGTGTAATTTGGCTGAAGGACACTAGTCACACTTGTGGGGGCTTATGGAACGCAGCGTAGCATCGCTGGTGTCGTGAAACAATCAGTAAAATGAAACAACACTCTTTCAAATGATCTGCAACGACTGACTTTTATTTTGTAGAATATCTAAGACCTTACTCATTAGAGCGTAAACAAAATTGTGATTTTTCATATAAATATAAAAATTATGTTAACAGCCTGTTCCTAGAAATAGCATATTAAGCAACTAGTCAGGTAATAAACGAGTTGCATCCTATACTTTTTCTACCACCGTTAGCTTTTGGCTTTTTCAATCCGATGTACGGTTTTTGCTTAAGAAATAAAAATCTCTTCTCTCTATGATCATAACGTCATATGGTTGTATATGACAGCATGCAGAGAAATTACTTTTAATTTTAAATGGAAACCGTGCGACGGACAAAAAAAAATTAGAGATCACACCTGCATATTAATGAAAGCAAGTGTCATTATTTTTTTTAAAGGAAATCAGTGGCGTGCCACTGACTGTCTAGTTTTTAGTTACCAACTAGTGTGCTTTAGAAAAAATATTAGAAGAGTGTTCTTTTTACTTTTACATTTTTATTGAAATAACAAAATATAAATAATAAAAAATTCTTATTAAAAAAAAAACGTTTCCTACTCTCAATAATTTTTAACAAAATTGCCTGTTAATAAATTAATAACCACCTTTTTGAAAAAAAGTAGAACATAAACTAGGTAAGTTGTTGAAAGTGTTCTCTCCACGTTGAAGCATACACGCTTCAGCTCTTTTCCTCATATTGCGCACTCTTTCAAGTATACCTCCAGTGTTTCTTATTAAATCGCAGGAAGCTCTTATTTCATATCTTCTGCAATATCGACTGGAGTGCGATAAACCAGTCTAACTAACCAGAACTGTTCTTAATGGTTATTTTGAAAATATCTGATTGCATTTCTGGAAAAGTTATTATGTATATATTATGTAATATTATATTATGCAACAAGTGCGGTAAACGGCATTTGATTCACGAGTTTATTTGACACGGGCGGAGCGAGTGTTTAATAGACGAGTGACTTAAAAAGTTTACTGAACATGTTGCATACTATACTTTTTCTGCGACCGTTAGATTTTGACATGACCGTCAGAATTGACAAACGTCAAAATTCAAGGCGTGGGAAATATTTTAGAAAACATCTGATTGCTCCCAAACCCATGCGGTAAAATTTCGAAAATGTCCGAAATGGCTGGGATCCGTAGGAAACGAAACTGACATAGTAAAGTGACGCTTTCCGCACGCTAGATAGGTGTGAAATTAGGCATTTTACAGACGGGAGTAAAAAAATAGTATTTATTGGTCAAACAAGGGATAATGCGCAATTTTGTCCAAAAACCATTGGCAAAAATTAACAAGCAAGAGAAAATCTCTGGGAAGTAGCGCTTGGACACGTTGAATATGATTCTTTCAAATTTTCCAAACCAAGACGACGATATTCAGATTATTTCTTCAATTTTTGAAGTTCTTACAGTCCGATGGGCTTATTTTAAATGATTATTTGCCCTCAAAGTACCTGTTTCCGTCAACCTTCTATGTACATTTGAAAATGTTCACCTGTCTGGTATAACTCTATTAGGAAAACGCTCTTGATATAATCGCCTAGCTTCCGGCGCACTGCCATCAGGCATAAAATGTATATTTGGCAACTCCTCATTGGTAAGCTCGACGACTGTGTAACAACCGCCTTGACAACAAAATTAATAATTGTTACAGACAGCCTACCACATACCAATAGAAAATAATTATAGAGATTTCAAAAATACCCCTCAGAGTTTACGTACTTTGACTTTTTAGTATTTTAATAAAAAAGGTAAAGTAATTCTATCTTTAGTAAGAAATAGTATCTAATGATAAGAATTCTCTGCATGCTGTGGATTTTGTTATGACTATGCAGAGAAGAGATTTTTTTTACGAAAACCGTGTATTGGATTGAATAAAATCAAAAATGTAAATTTCTTTAGAAATAATTTGAGATAATAAGTATACTTTTTAATTTAAGAGAAATCAAGTGGCGTGTCTGCCAAAATGGACAGGTGAAATTCTTTACGCCCACCACTGGTGTATTTAGGAAAAATGGTGGTACACGGAACAAATTAAATCACAAATAAATCACTGTATTCAACTTCCCTAAAAATAATATTAAAGATGATCCACAAGCCCATTTTTCGCAAAGTTTTCATTGTTAACTTTTTACACACACACCACCCACCTACGAGTAGCTGTGAGGAGAGAGTATATACAGTCTTTTTTCTTTTATTTGGTTTTATAACATTTTACTCGCTTGACGCTTTTACCTTCGCTTTTGTTTTTTGACTACCTTCTGTCTCCCTTTTCGCCTAAAAGAGTTTTCAAATAGCCTTTATATGAGCCATATCGCCTGTGATTTCTTTGGATAGCTGTTCAGTCATACATTCAGCAAGCAATCTGTCTTTTTTTTTGGAGATGCAGTGATTATTTTACTTGTTCCTTTTGCGTTGTTCTTTCATGTTGAAGCTTTCGAAAGGGCACGAATCATTTCGGGATTGATTAGACTACATGCCTTTCCGGAATTACCAAATACTGTTCCGTCGAGGGACTGCATCCGATGACTGCAGTGTGGAGAGGAAGTAAGAATTATCAGGCAATTTTGACGAGTAAATAGGATTGATTCTTTTGCTGATGGCTTAACTTGTTTTACGACAATCCTCTGTTATCCATCCCCATTGATTAGCAAGGCCTAAAGAACGAGTAGGGCCATTTTGAAGCATATGATCGGAGGATATGAAACGGACTCGCGGAAATATAAAAACCGGAGGAATACTACCTCCAGCTGCATTGGTATATATATAACCAACGAACCACTTCCAGAGGACCGACCCTTTTGATACATGCGCAAGGTATTATTTTCGGCGTATTGGTAACGATGCTGCAACCAAGTTCGTCCAGATTCCCGATCATGCTTGCCGAAAATTCATATTTTAGCAATGTTTTTCAGGTTATAAAAAAAGTTATTGGCATTAACTTTATTAAAACCAGTAGTCTAGCTAATGACGTGCTCTCAGGTTTTTTAACTGCTAAAGTTTTATTTCTTAAAAAAAATAAACAATCGACACTGTTACAATCTTCCGTGTAAGCTAAGCTGGGGTAATTTCTAATTTCCTAATACACATGGTGTTTCCTAAGTAATTTTTGATAATAGTTAAATGCGCACAAAAACAATAACTCCCAAGAAAACCGACAACCACGAAAGGGGCGTCCCTTTCATATCTTGACTTTGTGTCCCTTTAAAATCTCCGCACGTTTTCATAAATCTAACCTTAAAATTGAAAAAAGTTAAAGTCTTCTTACCGTTGATTCCTCTTTGCTGTAGCAAAATGGATGACAAATTTAATACAGGTATACACTGCGTACAGAATGTAAATTACTATATTCTATGAAACTGCAAGTAAACCCTTATGCACCAAAATAAACAAAAATGTTCTACAACGTTGTTGCCATATATTGGTTATAGATGGAATACTTTCCTCTTGGGGAATAGGAACTGTATTTTTTTTCGATTTACTGGTTTTTTCAATTTGATGTATGCAAAAAATGAATAACCAAATATAATGACTTTTATTGTAAAATAATAATTATACCCAAGTCAAACCTGTGTGTCACACAAACTTTTTTATGGAAACTGCAGCAAAAATATTTTTACAATTTTTGGATATAAAATTAATTAATCTTTTCTATATATATTTTTTAATATTTGCTTTGTTGCTATAGAAGTTTTGTGGATATTTTTTATGCAATGGCATATGCATACAAATAGAAAATGTTCAATTTTTTCCTTTAATTATATTTTAATATACTTAGTCAAGAAATTTTTTATAATAAA